ACTAATTCATCTGCACTCTGCTGCCCCTGACCCGGTCTCTGACGTCAACCTGTTTTTCTGCCGTCACTTCTCTCTTCCTGCTGTTTTGGTCCGGGCCCGAACAAGCTTGTATAGAATAAACACCCACAGCATCTTGTATTGCCGCAAGCTTGTGTACATTAAATAAGCCAGCCGTGTCTGCCACATGGTCCGTCCTCCTCCTCCCTCCCCAACCTCCAAAATCAGCTGTCCTCTCCTCCTCTATGCCTGGCGGGCCATGGCAACCTGCTGGGACTCTTCCTGGAGACAATTGAGAGTTGCCACGGAGTGTGCAGAGTGCTGGTCTGACCCATAATAGCCGTGGCAGCGTGTTGTGTTGATTACTACTCCCTCCATCCCTGCCTGACTGACTGACTGACGCAGCAGCAGCAGTGTCTTGCATTGTGACTGAACTGACACCTCCACACCACCTGCTGACGACACCCAGACCCTCCTCCTCAGGACACACAGACACCCCTCCCTCATCTAGAAGAGCGTCACTGTTTACAGGGTCTAGGCAAGGTACATAAAGGACGCACACAGTGGGGAAGGAAGGAGGGTTCCAAGAAGCTTCTAGAGAATGATAGGAAAGAAAAGAGCAGCGGAAAGGGACGGCAGGATCACATTCAGCGACGCGGCCGGCCAACAAAAGACAGGGCGGGGGCTGGGGGGAAACGGAAGGAGGGCCCTTCATGTCCATCAGCTGCAGATGCCTGGCTCTCTACTGTAGGGAACACTGTGAAAGGAGATGAGGAGCCACCTTACCCTGCCTGCCCTTCTTTAACCAGCAGCAGGCTGTGGCACTGCAGCAACTGTCAGATTCAGACCCACACCACACTGCAGCACGGAGATAGGGCATCATAGTCACCCTCACACCGAGCACAGGCCCCATACTGCAGTCTGCAGCCACTCTACATACAGGGACTGACCACAGAGGTGAGCGAGGCCGCTGGGTCTAACTCTACATCTCCATAGGTAGCACATGTGGTACTTTACGTATAGTTGTGTCAGCAATGTTCCCTCAAATGTTTTGGGGCCCTGAGCAAATTTTAGGTCTTGTGAGCGAAAACTGATCTGAAAAGCGCATTCACTTGCGGGTGATTGAATTGTGCTCTGGCTCTGCCTACAAGAAAATCACAGACTTCATCTTGCAAAGTTAGATTTGTTTTGGTTTGTTGCATTGAAAAGGGGCTGATTTATTGTTGATTCGATCACAGAAGAAAACATTGATCTATATAGTGCAAACAAATGGGTCGAACTCAGTGAAGTTCAATCTCTTGCGTATCTGCGCCGCATGGCATTGCCTCTGCGAGGCAGTCCTGGAGGAAGTGTGCGGCACGCGCGCCGTTTAGAGGGAACATTAGTTGTCAGGCCTTGTTCTTTCGAGTTAGGGACACATCTTGATAAGATTGTAAAACCCATACACATCTCTTCTTGTGCAACTGCCAAAGACGCAGCAGTACTCTACCTACAGTACCAGTCAAAAGTTTGGACACACCTACTCATTCAAGGGTTTTTCTTTATTTTTACTATTTTCTACATTGTAGAATAATAGTGAAGATATCAAAACTATGAAATAACACATATGGAATCATGTAGTAACCAAAAAAGTGTTAAACAAATCAAAATATATGTTATATTTGAAATCTTTCAAAAAGCCACCCTTTGCCTTGATGACAGCTTTGCACACTCTTGGCATTCTCTCAACCAGCTTCACCTGGAATGCTTTTCCAACAGTCTTGAAGGAGTTTCCACATATGCTGAGCACTTGTTGGCTGCTTTTCCTTCACTCTGCAGTCCGACTCATCCCAAACCATCTCAATTGGGTTGAGGTCGGGGGGATTTGTTTAACACTTTGTTGGTTACTACATGATTCCATATGTGTTATTTCATAGTTTTGATGTCTTCACTATTATTCTACAATGTAGAAAATAGTAAAAATAAAGAAAAACCCTTGAATGAGTAGTTGTGTCCAATCTTTTGACTGGTAGTGTATGTGTTTCAATTTATAAGATCACTTTTTTTTCTGTAAACAAAACCTTTCAGTGCAGCAGTTCCTCCCTCTCTATAGACTGGGGGTTAGATTTACATTTTACATTTTAGTCATTTAGCAGACGCTCTTATCCAGAGCGACTTACAGTTAGTGAGTGCATACATTTTCATACTGGCCCCCCGTGGGAAACGAACTCACAACCCTGGCGTTGCAAGCGCCATGCTATACCAACTGAGCTACAGGGGACTAGATCCCTTTGAGATCTCCTCAGAGGTGTATGGCAGAAGGCTTGGACTACAGAGTTTGGTTCTCCCTCGTACTGAGTGTACATGGACTCTGTCATCAAATGAGTGGAACAGTAAGGATGGAGGTATTATGAGCGTGCATCATGTACATCTTCTCTTTCCATTGTGGAGTTAGTGTTTACAGCAAGGATGGTATCATCATAATCTCTGATGAAAACACATCAGTCACCTCTTCTATCTCCCCTCTGTGTCGTCCCCTCTGATGGCTTACTGTTACATTACACAGAGCTGCCTTAGAGGAACATGGTGGTGAGCTGTAAGGAGTTGACAAACTCCTGTTAGTAACAAATATGACTTGTTTTTCACACTTTGGATTGTTTCATAAATTGCTGCATTTATTAGTTAGGGTTATGGCATACATACTTTCTGTAAGTTTGCTGTGAAATCACTCCCTGGAAAACAGTGGCAAGTGTTCATGAGTGGACTATCCTGGCTAAATACATAAAATGACATGAACTGACTCAAAGCTTTACTTGAACAACAACAACCTGAGAACAGATTAGATATATAGGATAAGGATTATTCCAGAAACTATATATAATTGTCCATTTGCGTCTACTGACTGTTCTTCAAGTAAATGTTTTTATTTGATTTATTATTCTGTGGACATTGTTCCCAAGGAGTCCTTGTGCATAGAGTTGTATGGTTTAACTTCGCAATCATTGTTTTTTGTTTGACATTTTAAAGTGAAGAATCTGAGTCTCAGCATCACTCTGTTACCGTGGAATGACCCTTATCCCACATCTTACTAGTTTGCTAGTTTGTTCCCTTGTTTCTGTCATTTTGATATAGTGTACCAGTTTTACAAGATTGCCTTGGAAATAGACCAAGACCATACTTGTACAGTACAAGAGTTGATGACTGAATGGAAGAAAAATGGACGCAGTAAACACAAAAGTCCGCCATTTTCTCCACAAGGTTTCCATGCATCTTTGTCTTTCACAAAATTTACTTTCAACTCTGCATTGTGCTGCAAGTAATTTGCAACACATCAGGGTAGCCTCTCTCCTTTTCTTTTATCAAAAGGAAAACAGACATCACCATAAACTCTCCTTAATCAGATGGGCCTGTGGTTTTGGCTCAGCCTGAAAGGGTTTGGCAGTAAATTGGACGTTGAATTTACACCCCCCCCCCAAAAAAAAAAAAAAACAGGGGAAGAGGGGGTCTAGTTTCTCAGAAGAACTCATCTGGGAAAGGCTTTTGTGGGATTTGGCAAGAGAACTGCAGGCTTTACTCCCCCGTCTCACTAGTCTAACCCTAGAATTAATTTTGTATTTGTGAGCATGTGTGTGTGTGAGCTTGTGTGTCTGTGAGCATGTGTGTGTGCGTGTGAGCTTGTGTGTTTGTGCATGTGAGCGTGTGTGTGTGTGTGTGTGTGTTAGGCATTCCAGGTCTGTTACAGTTCACTCAGTATGGTAGCAGTGATCTGCTGCAGCCAGACAGGTTGGTGTTTATTAGCTTAGCCTTGGTTAGCTGATCTCTCTAAGTTGAAGATTTGTAGGTTGGGCTTTTTATATACCCCTCTATGTTGTATTGGTGTGTGTAGTGTACCTATGTCCAGTGGGTATTATGGGTAGCCAGGGGTGAGGTGCTACAACCCTTTATCAACATTCAATCTGCTATCATGGGTCGCCTGGCATCTAGCCATTAGTCATCCAGCCAGGGAACATAGAAATGAAATGAATAGAATGTGTTTAAGTTCAGGGAGCAGGCCTGGTTGCTATGGTTTGGTGGGATACTGTGATATAGTAATTCAGTTCTGTTCTCCGAGCCAGCCCCCTCTCTGAGCCTCCCTCCAGCATTAATAATTTACCAGTCAAAGTGAGCTGCCAGACTTTCTATTGGACACACATCCCTTTACCATCCCTCCTGCTGCATGCGCTCTCTCCTCTCCCCTCCCTTTTCCCCTCAACAACCGACTGACTGACTTCAAACCTCAAATATGCCAGAACCTCGCAAGCAGGCAGGAGCATTTCCTGTGAAGAAACTGTTTTAATGTGGTCCAGACCTATTTAACTAGTATCCACTTTCTACTTCACTATCTTATCTACTCCCTTTGTATTACACATCTTATCAGCTAACTAAACTACAAACATGGTTTATTTGAGAGCGCTTTTATGAGCTGTAACCTGCCCTCAGTTGTTATTATTTTAAGATCGTGTACTACGTGGCTTGAACTTCTAGCTTCCCTTGAACTGATTATGATTCTGCTAGCTCAATCCCAGAGTGCTTTGGGGCTAGATAACTTTTTTTTGTTTTGCATACTGGTGCTCTCTTTGTAAAGGTTAACTTCATCACATGTTACTTTGCAGGATTCTTTGTGTGTGTATGTTGCCAGAATGTTTTGACAACCCCTTCATTACTTATGTGACTTTTAGAGTGCTGAGTCACAACTATTCTTCAGCTGAATGTACTGCTAAAGGTGGAAGATGTGAAATCACAGCAGTAATTTCAATGTTGATCAACTCTGCTGACACCGGTCTTCTCTCCCTCTCTCTGTCTCTCCAGGTTTCCACCTCAGTGGCACGGTCACAGAGCCCGCCTCCCAGTCGGAGCCCGAGGTCACCCACAAGGTGGCCATCAGCTTCGACCGCTGCAAGATCACCTCGGTCACCTGCGGCTGCGGCAACCGAGACATCTTCTACTGCGCCCACGTGGTAGCCCTGTCCCTTTACCGCATCAGAAAGCCGGAGCAGGTCAAGCTGCGGCTGCCCATCTCTGAGACCCTGTTCCAAATGAACAGAGACCAGCTACAGAAGCTGGTACAGTACCTCATCACAGCACACCACACAGAGGTGCTGCCCACCGCCCAGAAACTGGCCGACGAGATCCTCTCGTCCAACTCTGAGATCAACCAGGTCCATGGTAAGAAAGACACACAACACCAATACATCAGTTGTCCCCATGTTCACATAAAGTCTACATTTGGTGAATAATTGATTCACGTTTATCACAGGAGATTAGACAGAACAACAAGGTTTTAGTCTTTACCTGCCACAAGATGGCCACATATTGTGCTTTACCCAGAGCCTCTGCTAGTCCCTTACACTCCTTAGTTTCTACCCCAATCTTCCTCTGGTGGGCTTGAAGAGCAAGGTGTGATGTCTGGCAGAGTCCTGACAGAGTACTGATTGTGGTACCAAAGCAGCAGACAGGCCTCTGAGGCATCAAACAACTCGTTTGATGCCTGAGTCTCCCAGCCTGCTGGTGCTTTGCATTTCTAAAAGTAAAAAAAAAACAAGGAGAAGGAAGTAAAAGAAGAAAGTCAGATGTCAGCGTGCTAACATTCCTAACTGCTCTAGCTCAGCACCAGAGCAGGCATGAAAAGCCCCCAGTTATCCCTCTAGTCTGGAAAACAGAGGGTTTGTCTTAAATGGCACCAGGGTGCCATTTGGGACGAATACAGGGGAACTCTGCAGCCTGCTATCTCTCCACATCACTATCTAAATATTTATCCACCCCAGCCTCTTAACAAGGAAGTCCATCGCCCAGTTTCCTGGTGTTGTTTGCTGTCGGTGGGTTGAAGTGGGAGCCCCCTTGACAATGAAGAAGGAGGATTTGATTGAGGGTTTGATTGTGGAATGTGAATGTTCGGATGCAACATTGACTTGGCAGGACTTCAGTTGGTTCTACTGGGCTGATCAAACGGGTGCTACCTATAGGACGCCTACCTAGGTTTACATACCTAGGGGTCACACAGTGTTTCAGTTTTTTAGGTGTTTGCTTAATTAGAAAAATATTCAACTAACAAACTTTGTCTTATATGAGGTTAGATTTGAGGTGATTATTGTTATAAGGCATGTTTTGGGGCCTGTTAGCTTTAGTTGTGGTTTTAATTAATCCTTGGTCTGACATTCTCTTTCTGTTTGTGTTCCCAGGGGCCCCGGACCCCACGGCAGGGGCCAGCATCGATGACGACAACTGCTGGCACCTGGACGAGGAGCAGGTCAGGGAGCAGGTCAAACTGTTCCTGTCTCAGGGAGGGTACTACGGCTCCGGGAAGCAGCTCAACTCCATGTTCGCCAAGGTACGTCTGTCTGTCTGTCTGTCTGCATGAATATTCAGTATCAAAATCTATCCCGGATGACTTGCTGTGTATTTAATGAATGTTTTCTGTAGGTGCGGGAGATGCTGCGGATGCGTGACTCTAACGGTGCCAGGATGTTGACCCTGATCACGGAACAGTTCATGGCCGACCCTCGCCTCTCTCTGTGGAGGCAGCAGGGGACTGGCATGACGGACAAGTGTCGGCAGCTATGGGACGAACTGGGTAAGTCCCTCTCACATCCTTAAATGTACAGTGTAGAGCTCCAATTCACACAGAACACAGTTCTAGATGATTATTAGCGCCTATGTTCTGTATTATAATGTATTGTAGAAGGCTATCAATGCATACATAATGCATTATGAAGAGGGTATTCATAGGAAGTGTAACTGACCAACTGTCTCATTGCTGCTTGGATGTTATTGAATTGCGTCAGTTGAAAACCATATGCCCTTGTCCAAAGCACTGTGTCGTTCGCAGTTGGTTAGTTGGTTAGCTAGCAGCTAGTCAAGGTACATCTGAAAAACCTTTCTGCTCAAAGAGCAATCCCAAATGGAATGTGACCTCACCACTTCGGTCAGCACAGCTATGCAACTGTTTCCTAACTGGAAAGCCACCATGATACACGTGATGTGAGATATCGCTCTCGCCCCATGCATGCGGCCATAGGAGTGGATCAATCAGTGGTGGAGTCAGTCTGTGATTGTGCAGCAGTCCAGCAGTGCATACATCAGGGTCAAGCACTCACCTCTATTGGGATTGCATGAAAAAGGGCCGGGATCAATGGGGTTTTCAACCTCCCCAGTATTGATCGGAGCATTTAAAGGGGTCGATGACTGCAGATCCTGAGGAGGTTCATTGGAGAGCAACAGCAGAGAGAAGTTTGCTGTGCCTCTCTCCCTCCTCAGGGACACACAACAGAACAGCAGAACCCTGGCTCAGGGGTAATGTTTAGTTACTGGGGAGCGACAGGACAGGGCTCTCTGATTGGCTAGGACTGCCACAGGATGATCACCAAAGCGGCCAATCAAAGGTATTATTGTTGGGGGGGGGTTTAAAGCGACCGTGCTGCACTCTAATACGCTGTTAGTACCAGAAACTGTCCGTGTGGTCAGGAATGAGTACCCTAACAAAGTGCTCTGAAACTAGGGTTTAAAGGGTAGCAAGAAGGAGGGGGTGAATACTGGTAATTAGTTACCTTTCGATAGGAAGGGACGTGAGGGGTAAACTAGTTCAGTTCCCTTTCCTGAGTCTATACTACTAAGGATCTGTCTAACATCCCAGTGCCTTTGTTTTAAAGATGTGACTTTAATACAGTCCAACCCGGACCACAACATACACTGTTAATTTTTATGACCCATTCACAATATTACCATAGAAGGACATGATCTTTCTATGGACCCTCACTCCTCTATACCGAAATAGTCTAACATTATTGGATATTCCACCCATTGACCTTTACCCCCTGACCTTTGTCCTTCCCCAGGTGCCCTGTGGGTGTGCATCGTGCTGAACCCGCACTGTAAGAGCGAGGAGAAGAGCGGCTGGCTGAAGCAGCTGAAGAAGTGGGGCGACATGGACATCTGTCCCCTGGAGGACGGCAACTACGGCAGTGAGTTGCCCAACATTACCAACGCTCTACCACAGAGCAACCTCGCCCAGGGTCAGTCGCAGTCTGCAGTCACATACATATAGAATACACATGTATACAATACATATATATACACACACACACACTGTCACTGGAAAGCATTTTATTTCCCAAACCATGATTCTGATACAGTGGTGAAGGTTGACTGTAGTTATCGTTGTAATCCTGTGTATATTGTACTCAAAGTACTCATCAATAGATCTCCATTGCTGAGTGTTACTATACAGTATGGACTGAGGTCTAACTTGCCCCCTCCGTCCCTCTCTGTGTGTCCCCCTCCAGACTCCCTGGCCCGGCCCAGACGGACAGTGTTCACGCGGGCCATGGAGGCCTGTGATCTCCACTGGCAGGACAGCCACCTGCAGAGGATCATCAGCTGTGACTACTACATGTCCCCAGCCTACCAGAGAGAGGGAGAGAGTCTTCTCTTCAACCCCCAGGGCCTGCCTCTATGGCTAGGTGAGAATTACACAACATGTTCAAGATTTTATCTGGCCTGTTCAGTACACACTCTCAGCGCTAGATGTTAAATGTTATATTAATTCAAGATGGTATCGGAAGGCCATCTCAGTATATTTATTAACACCATATACACAGATACAGACTCACTCACACTGGCCCAGCTCCTGGCAGGAGTTAAAGCCATGATAGTGGTGTGTTTTCCTATCCGTAACACCACCACTTTTTGTGTCATAAGCCTCCTTTAATTCCACTTCCACTGAATCCTGGAGCTGGAGTAAGCAGCTTCTGGGGGAAGATTTTTCCACATTCTGCAACTTAAGCCTGGGTAGTGGGAGTGGGTTTCTTCTGCTGTGGCTGCCTGCCAGCCTGCCTGGGCGTTGTGTTGCTTATGCTGAGCCCCTGTCATGTGATTTGTGCCGTAGATCACGTCCCCACGGCGTGCGCGCGGGTCGATGCCCTGCGTTCCCATGGTTACCCCCGCGAGGCGCTGCGGTTGGGCGTGGCCATCATCAACACCCTCCGGCTGCAGCAGCACCGCCAGCTGGACATCTACAAGCACCAGAAGAAAGGTAGCGCCCCCTGTCTGCCTGGAGACAGTTCACTGTTCTCACTAGTAGGGCCCAGAGTTTTTCCTGGTTATATGACCTGATGAGGGAAAAACTCTAAACCCTACATAACAGAATGAATGCATTTGATTTTATAGTACAATGTACGGTATGTGGGTGTTTGATCTTGTTGTAACCCTGTTGTGTTCCTGTGTGTGTCAGAGCTGCTCCAGAGGGGGATGACCAGCACTACTAACCTGGAGGGCTGGGTGGGACACCCTCTAGATCCCATCGGCTGTCTGTTCGCCACCCTCACTGAGACCTGCCGGGTGGAGGACGACAACGCTATGGACACTGGAGGTATGCATCTGGCCAAGCCCTGCCTAGGCAACATTTACAGTCCATGTCAATCAAACTGGTCAAAATGGGTTCAGTCCAGCAACCATAACTGATCAAGACCATCCCCTGGTAAAGTCACCCATATAGTACAGTCCCATACAATTTTGGCCCAGGCAGAGGCCAAGGCAACTGGCACCCATTTTTTATTTTTTTCAATCTCATGTTGTCCCAAAACGAATGAAGGCCATCAGATGGTAAAGTCACCCATCCAATCCAGTCCTGGTCTATCCAACCCCCCCCCCCCCCCCCCCCCTCTGTAAACAGCCTGAGATGAAAGGCTATGCCGCAGAAAGGTCATCCAGCCCCAGCCCACACAGTGGTGGAACATAGATAAAATCAATCACCATTTGCATTCCATACGTCCTTTAGCCCAGCCAAACAGAGAGCAGGAATTTGGTACCGCCTATTCTGACAAACCTACAGGGAGGCATTGTGTGCCGGAACAATACTGGCGATTGGTACGGTGAGAGGGCTAGAGAGAAAGAGAGAGAGAGGGAGCGATGGAGTGTGTGGCTTATAGCTTATAGGGTCATCCTCACAGTCCTTTGTTTGACTGGAAACAGCTGGAAACATCTGGTATGGGGGCAGGGCCTAACTTGAATTCTGACCAATCAGGGGTCTTTACACTTCAGACCCAACAACAGCAGCTGCAGCTGGCCAGAAGAGCCAGAGCCATAACAGTGGAAAGAGGAAAACATGGAGGCTATCGTGGTTACAGTATGAGAACTAGCCCGGGCAGCAAAGGGATTCCACATGGTTAAATCCACCTTGGAAGTGATCTCACACGACACATGCCAAAAAGCCTAGAAGCCCAAGGCTTACTTCCAATGGACGTTCCATTGGAGAATAGATGTTGTTTTGATCTAGCGGCATGATTGGAGAATCCCTGATATCCCCCCTCCTCCCTCCTCCCCCTGTAATAAACAGGATTGTTGGAGGGAGGGATAATTTGCCAGGGGGATTTAAGTGTGAGCCGCCCGTGGGTTGGGTCTGAGTCCTTGTCAGCAGATGTTACTGTTTTTCTGGGACCTCAGGGACACCTCTCTCTCTCTGGTGCTGCCTGGCATCCACAGCTGCCCGGGTGGGAGACGGGGAGCTAGAGAGAGAGGCTCCTGTCTGTGTCAGCTGCTCTCCACACCCAGCACCTTTCAGGCAAAAAAACACACATAAAAACTAGGCGGCCATTTTGGATTAGTGTTAGCACCTAGCAGTGTCTCAAAATCCTGCTAGATCGTCATTGCAAATGAGAAATTGGTTTGAATTGACTAAACCGTTTGAATAAAGGTTTAATAAAGTAGAACGAAGTCTCACTTCCATGACCATCCCTGTAAACTAAAAACCTCTCTTCGTCAGACTCTGGAGAGCCCAAGCCGCCGGTGTACCACCACGTCCCCGTGTGGGGTTGCCCAGACGGCGGGGAGTCCTACCTGGCGCTGGCCCTGGAGGTGGCGCTGATGGGCATGGGGCAGCAGAGGGTGATGCCCGAGGGCCTCTACGCCCAGGACAAGGTGTGTCGTAATGAGGAGCAGATCGTGGCCAAGCTGCAGGAGATGGAGCTGGATGATCTTCTGGTCCAGACGCTGAGGAAACAGGCTATCCTCCTACTGGAAGGTATGAAGACTAGTTTCATTCTACTATTGTCCTCTGCTCATCTCAGTTCATCCTCTATCTCTTCTCTGTTCCCTTCAATCTCCCTCTCTCTTTGCCTCACTGATCCTCCCTCGCTCTCCCGTTCTATTCTTTCACCCTCTCTCTATCTGCCCTGCTTGCTGCCTCACTCTGTTTTTCCCTCCCTCTCCTTCTGCATTTCCCTCCCTTCCTCTATTTCCCTCTCACTCTATCTCTTTAGCGCTCCCATCCCATCCCTCTCTCCCACCTGGCTCCCCTCCACTGATCCTGCCTCGCAACACACAGCTGAAAATGGATCTCAACCCTGGCCTTTCCCACCATGTCTATCACCCTTCCTTCCTTTTCATTCCCCTTCCCCATGCTAGCTATGCTATAGCCCACCCCCATCTTGGGCTTTGGGGAATGTTAGCTGTGTAACCCTAGAGAAGACATCTGTCTCGCTGCTAGGGACAAGATATTTGGTTAAAGCCCAATGGGCAGTGAGTGTATGGTTTCCGGTTTGCTCTCTGTCGCCCCCATCAGGTTGAGAGAGGTATAACCTCATATTGCTGTTATTCCCTGCTCTATTTTGAGCCATGGTTTGTTTATACTGGTATACTTTGACTATTCACCAAGAAACGGAGCCAAATCAGAAAGGGAAGATTCCCTGTTGCTGTGTGTGTATGTAGCTGGACAATTCTGATGTATTGTGTTTGTCTGTCTGTCTGTCCGTCTGTCTCTGTTCAGGAGGTCCCTTCAGTGGCCTTGGTGATGTCATCCACAGGGAGAGTGTTCCCATGCACACCTTTGCCAAGTACCTGTTCTCAGCCCTGCTTCCCCACGACGCTGACCTGGCCTACAAACTAGCATTGAAGGCCATGAGGTGAGATCCCACAACCTACATTTATTTCCCACCCTGTTCAGTCTCACTGCTCTGTTTCAAGCATCTGTATGTATTTCGATGGCTCAAAACCTTCTAGCGTGTATTCCAAAAACAGAACATATGAATCCTGAATGTTGAAGGTGTACTGTAAGTTGTTAAATAATATTGAATTGAATATAATTTTACAACTCATTTTTCAACATTCAGGATTTTATCACATGTTATGATCAAAATAGTGATCCTCCTATCTTGCTGCAACAGTGTGTGTCTGAGAAGAGGCTCTACTTGCATTGCAGAGTCATTATCCCACTGAGACTCCTCAGCGTCCCGGCTAATACACAATCAATAACAGGGCTTAGAGCTGCACACACATGCTCACACACGGTGCATATGTAGACTTCGTGAGCAGAGAACTCTAATGCAGCTATACAGACTTGAGATTGGATGAGCCAGCATTAATCTGACGATGATACCTATAATAATGCTGTAGACCAGGGATGGGCTACTTTGATGGGGTGGGGGCCATAACAAAATCTGAACTCATCATCAAGGGCTGCAGTGGCTCGCTGGTCTGCGTACCCACATCCATACCCATCCAGCCCTAGCCTTTTGGGGGCCCTAAGGGAAATGTTGTTGATTACTACAAGCAGATAGCTGGCTAGACTAACTTATCCAATCTAAAAAATGCTAGCTGACATGGGCTAATTGAGTGACTGACATAACAAGAGAAAAACTGCTGATGCACAACCAAATTGTGTATTATACTATTCTAACTCAACAGTAAGTTGACTTGTAAAAAAAACTCAGTCGGGTTTGATCCGTGGGCCTACGAAAGGGGCGCAGGCCGCCAGTTGCCCATCCCTGCTGTAGGAAATGCACATGCTTTATTAGGCTTGGAAGCCTTTTTCAGTTCAATTTTGAGTAGGAAACTTTTTCTTAGTAGTCATAACTCCTCTAATCACTGTCTCGCTCTCTCTCCTTCTCTCTCTCTCTGTCTTTCTTTCTCTCTGTGTGTGTACCCTCTAGGCTCCCTGTGTTAGAGTCGATGGCACCCTCGGGAGACTTGGGTCACCCCCACCATGGCATCAGCATCGTGCCCAGCCGCTACCCACGCTGGTTCACCCTGGGCCACCTGGAGTCTCAGCAGTGTGAACTGGCCTCCACCATGCTCACCGCAGCCAAAGGTCAGCTGAGCTCTACTTACATACACTCAGACACACCCCATCAGCCAAAATACACAACCACACCACTATCAGATAAACGCTCCTATGCCCATGTCCACCGCTACAGAACACCACATACAAACTGTAGGATGAGAAATGTTGTTTTTGAATCTAATGCTGTGTTGTTTGTACCTCCAGGAGATATGTTGAGATTGCGGACGGTGCTGGAGGCCATCCAGAAGAATATCCACTCCTCCTCCCTCATCTTCAAACTGGCCCAGGATGCTTTCAAGATCGCCACTCCGGCTGACAACCCCCCAGATATCACCCTGCTCAATGTATCTCTGGAGCTGGGCTTGCAGGTACTGAGGGATAGCTAGTAGGGTATGTGTGTGTGTGTGTGCGCGCGCTTGTGCTGGTGGGTGGGTATTGAATTGCTTTGCACTCAGGCCTCAATGTCTCTCTCTCGCTCTCTCTCTCTGCAGGTGATGAGGATGACCCTCTCCACTCTGAACTGGAGACGCAGGGAGATGGTGCGCTGGCTGGTCACCTGTGCCACAGAGGTGGGTCTGCGAGCGCTGGTGAGCATCCTCCAGAGCTGGTACACCCTGTTCACCCCCACCGAGGCCACAAGCATCGTAGCAGCCACCGTCATGTCCCACAACACCATCCTGCGCCTCAGCCTGGACTACCCCCAGAGAGAGGAGCTGGCTAGCTGCGCCCGGACCCTGGCCCTGCAGTGTGCCATGAAGGACCCCCAGAATTGTGCCCTCTCGGCCCTCACGCTCTGCGAGAAGGACCACATCGCCTTCGAGACGGCCTACCAGATTGTCATCGACGCAGCCTCCACGGGCATGACCTACTCTCAGCTGTTCACCATCGCCCGCTACATGGAGCACCGTGGCTACCCGCTCCGAGCCTTCAAGCTGGCCTCGCTGGCCATGACCCACCTCAACCTGGCCTACAACCAGGACACCCACCCGGCCATCAACGACGTGCTCTGGGCCTGCGCCCTGTCCCACTCGCTGGGCAAGAACGAGCTGGCCGCCATCATCCCCCTGGTGGTGAAGAGCGTGCACTGCGCCACCGTGCTTTCGGACATCCTGCGCCGCTGCACCATGACGGCCCCGGGCCTGGCCGGTATCCCCGGGCGACGGAACTCTGGGAAGCTCATGTCCACGGACAAGGCTCCGCTCCGGCAGCTGCTGGACGCCACCATCAGCGCCTACATCAACACTACCCACTCCCGGCTCACTCACATCAGCCCCAGGCACTACGGAGAGTTCATAGAGTTCCTTAGTAAGGCCAGAGAGACCTTTCTACTGGCCCAGGATGGACACATCCAGTTTGCCCAGTTTATAGACAACCTTAAACAGATCTACAAGGGCAAGAAGAAACTCATGATGTTGGTACGGGAACGCTTCGGCTGAACCTGGCTGAACCCCCAACAGGACAGGCAATATAGGGAACTACTTTTAGTACTACTTACTCATTTATTTAAGTTTTCATTAATTTTCTCTTTTTTGTGTCATTCTTGTGGCAAATTCTATGTTTGTCTGTTTTTGTTTTTGTCTTTATATTTTCTCGTGAGCAACAACCACTGTTTGTTTTAGTATGAAAAAGATTGTGATGATGATGAAAAATCGTTGAGGTGGCACATAATGAAAAACCAAATGATGTATGGGGTGTTTTGAGCCAGGGAATGTCTGCTGTCTGCTGTGGTGAGTTACTAGTGGTTTTTGAAGGAGAGAGAACTTTTCATTCCAAAAACCAGAGATGTGGACTCGAGTCACGTGACTTGGACTCGAGTACTACTCGAGTCGTACATTTTGCGACTTGAGACTTGGCAAGAAGAAAAAAAACACTTGCCACTCGACTCTGACTCGTGACTTAACTTGGACTTCAACTGTATGACTCGAGAGACATGATTTGTCATCTCGCCCACTATGTAAGCCTATCTGTCCTTTATATCGGAGTGCTGCAGGTTCTGTGCGTTGTGTGTCTTGACCAATCAGATTCACGGAAATCACAGGTTGCGCAGGCCGGGCACAAAGCACGTCCACTAGCGAAGCTTGCGCCGCTCCACTGTCCTCCGATATTTATTTAGCAAACGTGATAACACATCACTCCCGAAATACACAAACAAGAACTCTTCACAGAAATGTTGCAGCAGCCTACAACTAAACTGTATGGGAAGAAAATGAGATGATTTCTCAGTCTGATCAACTAGGCTACTGATAACAACCACAGCTACAGATAATGCGCCCTGTCCCCATTTGCCCTCTGGCCAGGGTAAAGAAGTGGTAATGTTATGTAGCCTATGTATAGCCTGTTTATTTGTGTTAGGAGAAAATGTGAATGTGATCAAATTTGGTTTAGGCTATATTCAAACTTGGGCTGGCTGGCTAGGCTACCTTGACCTTTTCAATCCAAAATGATTAACTGAAATTAATCAAACAACACAATACTGATTACATAAATATACTGTGTGAGTTATTTTTAATTGCAGTTGCTTAGGCCTATACGATGCAACCTGCATAAAGCAAGCTCAGCCCTGTGAGTTATATTGTCCAATTGCAGTGGCTGTGTCTGTGTAAAGGAAAGTCTAGTTTTAAAATATAATTCATATTAACAAGTACAAGGTTGCTGCAGTTTGACTGGGTTTTCATCCTCCCTAAGGCCAGGAGTTTTTCCAGAAATGTTAAGACCATGTGACCTGTTTAGAACATATCTGTATACATAGGTGGCAGGTAGCCTAGTGGTTAAAAGCATTGGGCCATTAACTGAAAGGTCAATGGTTGGAATCCCTGAGCTGATTAGGTTAAAAATCTGTTGATGTGCCCTTGAGCAAGGCACTTAACCCTAATTGCTTTGGATAAGAGCATCTGCTAAATGACTGAAATGTAAATCTGGTCCCACTCCCATATGAATACCTTTTTACAACTACTAATTAATCACTTTCAGACACTGTCAGGTTCCTGATTTATACCTGGTTCGGTTACCAGATTAGGAAAAGCTCCGGGCCCCAGGGAAAACAATTTGCCCCACCACTCTGGGACCTGTGGTGCCACCTCTGCATCAGGGCATCATCGGTCCTAAAAATCATTGCATTCGGTTCCAAAGGCTATGTGGTAGTGGGGGGAAAAGGGAGGCAGTTTGTGAAACATATGGGTCCAAAATCACTGATGCATTGCAATTGCAATGAAATTGACATAAACCACTTAACCATTGACTTGAGGACTCGAAACCTAAAATTAGGGACCTGAGCTGTGGAACTTGGGACTTGCCCATTATTACTTGGGACTTGACTCGAGACTCAACGTTTAAGACTTGAGACTTGCTTAGGACTTGCAAAATTGTGACTTGTTCCCATCTCTGCCAAAAACACTGAAGCACATAGTGTTAACTTACTGTCATACCTCGATCGTATTCCAAGAATCAGCTTTAAACTTTTCCTGTTAAAAGGCCTTGTTTCAAGGCATTATGTTTGGAGGAGGTGGAATGCTGAACTTGGATGTGTATCCCACGGTCCAGTGCCCAAGTCTAAATTCACCAGATTCATCAGGTACATACAGAGTCCTCAGACTTGACCAAGCCTCTCACACTCTCCCACATGTATTCTCCTCCTCCTTCCTTGGGTGTAGCCTGATCGATTTGTCTGGTACCTTGTATTATTTCTAGTGAAGGTACCTTTCAAAAAGAGAGAAGCGTACAGAGAGAGAGCCGTGTTGCTTCAGATTGGTATTTGGATTAGATCACGGCGAGATTAATTGACTGGCCTTGTTGCCTGAGAACGATACTGTCACTGTGGATCTTGGACTGTGAGGTGGAGTGGCTTGTGTTGTCAGGATTTGGGGTTATAACATACATGTTGAAATACCATTGCTGAAAAACATCTTGTATCTTTCAAAGCAAAACGTGTATGATTTTTTTTTTTTTAAACAACATGCCTTGGTGTAGCCAGTTGGTGTTAGTATTCCACATACAACCCTAACTATAACTATCAACCTCTCAGACCCTGTGGGAAAGTGTTTTTCATATGGCAGTGACCGCTTGAAATTTAGCAGTAGTACTATTGTTTACAAGCAATTGACAAATGTCACGTACTCAACACCATTCTGTCTGCTTGAGCAATTATTTATCGATCATTAAAATAATCTGTGTATGAATGAATACTATGAATACAGACATAGACAGCATATAATTATATTTAATATACAAAAATAGGAATATTAGACAGAAGACACATTTTGAGGCTATGAAAACCGTTCCATGTCAGCTTCCACATTCCATTGTTGCCACCTCTACCAAGCTCGTCAGGTGGCCTGGGGCCGCAGATGCACTGTCTGTCTGGAGCTGGGGTTTGAAGTAATATGGTAAAGAGAAAAGAGATGCTAAACTCAGTTCTCAGGGAATCACTTCAAGAAACAAAAACAAAAAAGTAGTAGCATAAGCATTTAAGATATTGTAAATATAAAAGTGTCAATTCAGAAAATTGTAAAGTTATAATTATTTATGATAACTATGTTTTTGTTTTTTGGGATACTTGAATTTGTTGTGGGCTGGGAATGTGACGACAGTTAGAAGAAAAGACTTCAAGGCATTTCTCAGGTGCTCCTGTGTACATTTTTCAGAATTTGTTTAAATGTTTTATTTGTATGTTTAGTTTAGTTTTTGCAAGCATGTTATTTGGAGATTATAAAAAAAGAAGGCATACCATTGTGACCAGAAAGCAACCCGACTATGCAGAAACCACTTGATGGTTTGGTCCCCTTCTCCGGAGTCACCCAGACGAATGTCCGAGGGGGGCTAGCCACTATCCTAGAGAGGACAGACGAGGCAAGACACGGCATGTTTGTATTTGTATCGAGCCTGCACATGCTGCAAATTGGGACAGACTTTTGCCTTTGACCGATCAATGTACAATTACTTTCTTTGGACTTAAGCCTTTAGTGTCTTCTCAAAGTACCTGGCAATGAGAGTTTAGGGAGAACAACGGTCCAAAATAAATGAAAATAAAAACCCTGCATGCCCTACACTAAAGAAGGAACTGGCAGATAATATGAACTGTGTACCCCCCCCCCCCCCCCCCCCCCCCATCCATATCCATAATCCTCCCTTGTATTTCTTCATGCTTTTAAGCCTATTCAGTTCAATTCACCTGAACGACCATGGCCATGCTCTGAACCATTCTCTAAAACCCTTATTGAGCAGTTGAGTTATTTTCTTCCTTCCATCGCTGGTCTTAATTCCTTTTTAAAATATATTTTTTAGCTTCTGCAGCATCCTCTCTTTTTGTCATTCACTAGCTACCACTCTTGTGAGTTACTACAAGAGGACAAAACAAGCATTTTTTCAAATGTGAGGGAGATGCTTGCAGGCTATTGCAGGTTAATGTAAAGCTGCCTGTTATATACACACATCAAACAACAAGCATTTTCTATCGCCCAAGTAGTTGGTCTTACGGCATTGCAAAAACAAAAAAAAGTGGAGAAAAACTCCTCTGGCTTTTAATTTCTTTCTTTCCCATACTCTGTGTCTATGTGTGTTAACTGTACCAGTGTTTTCACCTGTCCCTAGAATCTAGAAGGAAATAATAATCGCTGGTAGAGATTGTTCACTAGTTCATCTACTGTTTGATTTTCATTTAAGGGAAAGTGTTTGTTGCCTCTTTGTGCTACTGATTTATATAAAAGGTATCCAGTATTTGCTGCCACAAAAGTATAGTTCATCAACACTTTTTGTTTGTGCAACCTCTTGAGCTAATGTCTTTCAAACAAAAATGTATTACTATTTATGTAACGCTACTACCATTTTATATAATTTGTGTTGGAATCTCAGTGCTTTTCTATGAATAAAGTGTGAAACACGTATATGACTCCTGCTGCTTTCTGAGAACTGGCTTCTCTCTGATGTTGCTCAATTACCGGTAGTAGATCAGGAATACATAAGAAGAGATAAGAGATCACTTCATGTAGGTTATACAATTATCCAATTCTTAGTAATGCCACACATTTAGTTTACCAGACTTTACAACAACACTGTTCTGAGAAGGGATCAGATGCAACTCTATCAATGTTCAAGTGTAGCTCTGATTTCTCCTCTTAAGACACTATTTTCCAGCTATCTCATTGCAATTCTCATTCATTAGGGAATTCACAGAGCTAAACCTGTGAATCGGGTCATAAAAAATTCCTAATTGTGTGTGAGAGACAGGCAGCACATCTCCGTCCCAGATTGATTGCCTCTGTAAATGAGCTTATTAATTAATGCAGCAGACGGCTCACCACTGTCTGATTCACATTCTATTCTCAGTATAACACCCCAACACTACCACAATCTGTTCAATTACCGCACCTCACCCCCCTCCTACATATGGATTGGACTGACTGAATTCCGTGAATCCCTTTTAGGTTGATCCGGACTGATA